TGATTGGTAGAATGCCACACTTTGTTTAGTGCCCTTTTTAATTTTTCATTGGGGTCCTTCAGTGTAACAATCCCTACGACATCATCATTGCCTATTATAATTATTTTTACAATTATTTTATTATTGAAATATTATTTTTATTTAGATGTTAACTCTTTGCTGGGTATACTACCTGTCGAAACTGTCCGAATTTGCTGACACGTTCTTCTTCATCTTGCGCAAAAAGAAGAGCCAAGTTACCTGGCTGCACATATACCACCACAGCATCACTCCTTTGGAAACCTGGTTCCTTGTTAAATTCTTGGCAGGTAATAATATAATCATCTTAGTGCAAATTGTAAATATTTATTAGTTGTATTTACTATATATATGTATATTTTCCAGGTGGTCACACAACGTCTGCTAACATTGTGAATAATTTTGTGCACGTGTGCATGTACACGTACTACATGGTGGCAGCCATGGGACCTCAATACCAGAAGTACCTCTGGTGGAAAAAGTATCTCACGAAGTTGCAACTGGTATGTAGATTATTATTTAGTTATTAATAACTTCTTGGGTGAGAAGATTACGTTCAAAGTCATTCGGAATCGTTTGATAATAAAATTGGACAAGGAATGTGTTCATGGTTTTACTAGGTCGACGTTTTCTCACCAACTTCTGTACCGATTTAAAGAATTTTAAGTGACGAAATTTGATTAGGACTCATATTGATTAGTTTTGGGAGATGATTGATGATAGCCGTGAAAAATTTTAAGTTTTTATTCAACTAAAAAATAAAAAAAGGTATCTTTAAAATCATAAATTGAAAGGTAATAAATAGTTATGTTATATTTTTATTTTTTATATTTTGCAACAAAAAGTATTTGATTAATAAATAAGTTATTACCAAATTGTATATGTAGGTCATCATTGGGTATCGAGAAGACCCAATGATTGAATGATCTTCCACGACCGTATATAATAAAATAAATTGAATATTATATTATATCGTTCTGGTTGAAAAAGATCCATAAAATAAATGTGATGTTTCACTATTTCATTGCATTAGTTTGTCATGTTAAGAAATCAATGTTGCAGTCGCAATAGTGCACTGCAGTGCAGTTATAATATTGCATTATGCGAACGATTCTAGTGGTTTACAGGTGAGAGTAAGGTAGCTGCACCACTACACTACTACTATACTGTTCATTCCGACAAGATGACAATTTTCAATAGAATATCTACATCGTATTCATTCAGAATTAATCAAATACAAATACCTAGGTGTTAGTGGTATCTTGCTTTATGGCAAATTGAACTTGGACATGGACTTTCGAAACCACTTTTTGTAGGCCTATAACAACTTATCATATTCGATTAGACTATGAATTCTATCACTGTGCAAAGATTTATTAAAATAGTTAAAAAACATTTTTTCAATAATTAATTACTAACGGCCAGGCCGATCTTTACCAAAAACTGATCATCACGATTTCCAAGGAATATTATTCAAACAGTATATTTATTTTCAAAATTGGTCTTGGACGTTTAGCAACCGTCTCGCAAGAGTAGTCATCGAGTTTCATCAAATGGTTTTTAATTTTTTCAAATTAGTGCAGTAGCTAAAATGTTGGCTAACATACACCGACCTACATCAATTTTGGTGTCAAATGATTCAGAATGATTTTGAAAACATAAAATTACCATATCGGATTTTTTAGCTAAAGGTAAATTACTTCTTTAGGAAGTTGGTTACAGTACATACTCATCTACATACATGGTAAACAGTACTCGATGACCCAAATTTTTCGCATGAATTTTCAAATTGCCTCTTAATCAATATGTGCTATTTATATTTATTATCTGATAATGAAATTTAATTCAAGTAGTCTTATATTAGGCCATTACTAGTTTAACATTAAACCATATACCTACTGACGTCGGAGTCGGAGTAGTAAATAAGCGCACGATTGCGAAAATATAAGGAGAAAACTGCTCGCAAACGATTGCCTCACTTTTTCGTTACCACAATAAAATTGCACCTTCAACGGCTGATTAACTTACTTACATATAACAAACCTTTTGTTATTTATGTGATACAATATCAATAGGAAAAATGTAACATTTAATAAAAAAAACAACTCTTTGAAGAAAATCTATAGGTGGTTCCAATTTTAATGGTTTTACTAATGAATTGTGAATAATTACTCATAAAATTAGTTCTACAAGAATTAGTCTACTGTTCTAATAAGAAGTTTATGATCGCTCCAGAAAATTTGATTTGATAATTTCATGTCTTGTCAATTTTTTAAGTCATTTTGAATTTTTTGACATCAAAATGGGTAAAAGTCTGTGTATGTGTATGTAAGCCAAAATTCAGATTTTTTTTTACAGAAAATTTTTTGATATCCGATTTTGTATTTTTGGTAATAAAATCAAATCTTTTTATGATGATGTCAAGGCTATATAAAAAATGAGTTGAAAAAACAAGTTGGATGAACTATTACTTCTATCATTTACTGATTTTTGAAAATCTGCACATTTTTAATAGATCATTATCATTCAATTTTGTGGGTCTATATTTGAAGACATTACTCAAATTAGTATAAATTATTGTCATATACGCCTAGCATTCCGTTTATACATGCTTCTTGTTTAAGAAGGTGGTTCAATCTTGTTTAAGAAGATGGTCAATATATATAAAGTAAAATCCAGTATCCGTTTAATAAAAATAAAAAGGTTTTCTATTAGTTTTGTAGTTGTATAATCAGGGAGTACGAGGTAAATGCAAAACAAATACAAAAGCAAAACGAGACAAATTTATTCTAATAATTTTAACAAGTTATCAAAAAAATTTTTGAAAGCACCAAAGTATGTTCCAAATTGATTAATAAACAAAGACGCAGGAACTAGCACAGTTAAGAATGAAATAATTGCTTTCTCACACAAATATAAAAATCGTCTAGCTGATCGCCCAAACTTGCTCGCCAGAAAACTTCAGAACAACTCTACCAGGGCCAGATTGAAAAGAAAGTTTCTTCTGCATTAACCAACAATTCATAAGACCTTCGACAAATCACTGACAATGGTCAGATGATTTGTATTTTGGCAACTGGCAATGGTTAAAAAAAACAGATCAAAAGTCAGATTCACAGATCTTATCCATAGATCCATAGGTCTATGATTAGATAAGACTGCTTGTTAGAAAGCATCACTAGACCAATGCATTGTGGAACGTGTAGATATTGTAGAATAATGATTTTGCTATTTAAAACAATAAATTAGTATTATTTTTTTAATAAAAAGTCTGGTTCTTTAATAAGTGTACGCAAACATGCGTATGGTTGCTGACAACTCCAGAACTGATGATGTTATTTTTTAATGTAATTATATTACAACGTTGTTTGTTTTCTCCTCAGGCTCAGTTTGTAATCTGCTTCTTCCACTCGGCCTGCGCCTTCGTGACAGACTGCGACTTCCCGATGATCATCTCCGGAGCCCTGATGCTCAACAATGCTATTTTCTTTGCGCTATTCATGAATTTCTACAAAGGCAGCTATGGTCCCAAAAATGCTCACCAGGCACCTAAGAAAATTGACTGAGATGTTAATTTACTTTTGCAGAAACAGAAATAATTCGATATTTTGTATAATAGATACTTTTTTAAATACCTCATGAAAATCAAACAAAAACTTGCCAAGTATGAAATAGACATGATTAGTTAAGTAACAGTACCTAAGCTAAGAATTTAATATTAAGTTGTAACATATAGTAGTTTAAAACATATTTGTGGCTATAGTTAGCAAAATATTTAAAATAGGGAGTATTTTTTGTAGAAATAATTAATAAATAATGTTACTATGCTGTATATAAACATTTAAATGAAATATTTGAGAAATATACTAGTATAATGTACAACTTTCAATAGATGTAAAAATACATAATAAATATCTTAAGCAAAAAAATACTTTTGTATCTTTTTAACTTTCCATAGGGTAGGTTAATGTAATCGTCCAAAAATTGAAATTGAAAATTTTTGCATATCTTCACTTTCCAGAGGCTTCTTAACATTTTGGCTTACCTTGAAAAAGATGAATGTGTGTGCGGATACAAATTTTCATTCACGTGTTCGGGCGCACGGATCAACCGATTCGAATGGTTTAAAAAACAATCGATTCCTATTGATAAGGAGACGTGCTGATTAATTTTTGGCAAAAACTGGTCCAGCCGTTTTGGAGATATGGAGCAAAGAGTGCAGGAAATAGAAATCGAGTTTTTGGGAGAACGGAGCACCCGATTTGAATGATTTAAAAACATTCAATTTTTAATTATGGGGAAAAGTGGTCATTAGTTTTTGGTAAAAGCAGGTCTAATCGTTTCGGAGATACGGAGCTAAATGTGCAAAAACTGGCAGTTTTTGAGAGAACTAAGCATACAATTTGAAAGATTCATACAACTTTATGCTTGTGTTTATAAAACGATTGCTTTTGGGAAAAGATTTTTTTTTATTTCAAAATTTAAACTTTTATTTTAATTTCAAAAAAATATTTTTATTTGAATATCGAAAATAATTCGGATTTTAAGTTTAATTCTGGCTTAAATTCTAAAGCTCTCTTATATACTTCAAATAAATAATTTTGACTTTGCAATTCAGTTTATATAAATCTTATAAATATTAAACAATGTCCTTCATTTTAAATCCGATTGATTAAGTTTTGTTTATTTACTTTTCTGTAATTTATATATAAACGTTATCGTCCAATTCATAAGCTCTTATATTTTGTCTATATAATAAGAATATTGAAAGTTACAGTATTTATAATAATATATTTGAAAACATTTAATATTCCTCCATTTTGTGTTAAGGCACGATGCCATATGCCACTAGTTCTTGCCCAACCCTGTGTCATGCCTGTGTCCATTTTCGTCAACCCTGTGCGTGTGAATCAATACCAACATTAAAATTATGTAATGTGCTGTCAACTGTCACTGTCAGTTCTTTCCTGTGTTATGTTTTACATGCCATTAATTGGCGACATATAGATTATTTGTATTTAACAATTAAGAAGTTGTAGACACGTAATAATGAATCCGAAAACAATATATCACTGGTACATACATTCCTATTTGGCCGATTGATTTACACAACCGATTAGTGAAGTCTTACAAGAGTGTCTTACAAGATGCCCGAACAAAGCAATGATTATCGAGTGGTTGTCTTCGGGGCCGGAGGAGTGGGCAAAAGTTCATTAGTTTTAAGGTTTGTCAAAGGAACTTTCCGGGAGAGCTACATACCGACGATCGAAGACACCTACAGACAGGTAGAGTTTGATTGACATCTGACAATCATCAATTTATGCATCAACTATTGTTTCATATTTATTTAAAACTCGGTAGAGCGAAGTCTAAATATGTATAGAAATAGGCGCAGTGGATCTGGCAAATACAGATTTTAAGTATATTCACAGAAGGCTCATACTTTTATATACTCATATTTAATTGATGTTTTTACAAAGCTGAGTATGTATTTCATGAGTAAATATAGTATTGGATCAGTATTATTTTTATAATATAGCAAAATATAAATGTTCGTACGAGTGCTCAAAATGCTTGACGTACAAATTATTGACAATTAGGCTCATGTCATTTTGTACGTCAAATAAATTTGGCTTAGTGTGTTTCTTGGAACAAAATTGCTACTAGCAAAATATGTAAAGTTCAAAGGTAATCTAATGTGTATAAATAAATAGAGGATGTAAAACTACTGAAATCTGGGGGTCTCGATGTCATCACATCATGGAGTAACTTACTAAAATGTAAACTCTGTATCTGTCAGATCGGCTGCGTCTGATGGAGAGTTAATAATGCTAACAAGTATGCATTTTATAACTATGAAACTGGTTTTAACTTATTGTAATTTCTTGTTTTGTATGACATATTAGGCTAACACAATAATACATCTACATTTGTCTTATATAATATAATATTTATAATCATCAATTTATCCTTTTATTTCATTATATATATATATTATAATTATTATTATATCAATATGATTGAGATAAAACTTTTTCTTATTGTACGAGATGGCATTCAAGTTGAAAATATATCCATATGGTAAAACTTGTGATGCACACATTTATTAATGTCAACCATTATACATATTTTCATAATAATAAATTATAAATTATATATTTATAATAGCATTAAAAGTATTTATATTTGAAAACAATAATAAAATCAAAGTCATACTTCAAATGATACTTATTACCGTCTTATTATGCAAATATGTATCTATTAATATAATGTATTACTCACATTTATTATCTTGTTCATGTATTTTTTTATTATTTGTCTGTTAATTATAGGTCATTAGCTGTAATAAGAATATATGTACACTTCAAATAACTGATACAACCGGATCTCATCAATTTCCTGCCATGCAGAGACTTTCGATTAGCAAAGGCCATGCGTTTATTTTGGTTTATGCAGTTAGTTCAAGACAAAGTTTGGAGGAGTTAAGACCAATATGGGCTGTCATTCGAGATCTAAAGGTAACTGAGATAAAAAAAAATAGTTAAGTTTAGTTTAACTAGTTTTATAAACTAAGATCTCAACAAGAAATGAAATACTGAGTCAGGATTAGGAATTCTGATGGTTGTTTTTACCACCTTAGCATTGAATTAAACATTGGGCATTTTAAATCAAATATTTATAAGGATACTATGCTTATGTTCAATTATAATACACTAAAAACATATTTAAACAGAAATGTACATATTTAATTATGCTGGTTTCTGAGTGCAAAATTATATATATTTATCTATTATTATTTATATAGGGTGCGAGTGTGTCGGCTATACCAGTAATGTTAGTTGGAAACAAGTGTGATGAAAGTGCTGAACTTCGTGAAGTGAGTTCTTCTGAAGGAGCAGCTGAAGCTAAAAGTTGGGGTGTATCATTTATGGAAACTTCAGCAAAAACAAATCATAATGTAAAGCAGTTGTTTCAGGTACATGGTATTCTTATATATACCATATATATATTCATTGAATATGTCGATTTTAAATTTATATATGCAGTCTATAAGTGATGATTGTGCGCTCTGTGAGGCATGCAGAATTTACCTTTATTAAAACTTTTAACTGCAAAAAAATTATTATTAAGGATCAGTTTCCAGACTTATTATATTTCTCTATAACTGAATTTACATTCAGGTTATTAAGCGTGCTGCGCTTGGTACTGCTCGATATAATAATTGCAAACAAAAAAATGTAGAGATATCAAAAGTAAACCGATTTTTTAATTGTTTGTTTAAAAATGTAGAAAATCTAATGAATCATGTAAGAGGCAACAAACTCTAAAAAAACCATATTATTATAAACTGATCTTAAGACACCATTATTTTACAGCTTTCTGCAAAATGTTTTTTAAAAGTGCAATTTTATATGCCATTTGTTTGTTTTTTATTATATATGATATAGTCTTTTCATTCATATAACTATTGATATTTATATTTGTTACATTCTAGGAACTATTGAACATGGAGAAAAACAGAGACGTATCATTACAACTAGATGGAAAAAGTAAGAAGAAAAACAAAGCTGCAAAGTCAGCAGCTGACGGTGATGGTACAGATGAAAGCAGTACTTCTGGTGCCAAGGACAAATGCTCTGTTATGTAATAACAATTATATCGACATTGAACAGATACGTTCAAATCTAAGTTACAAGAAATAGAAATGGTGCATGATATTAGATACTTAGATCTTTTTTGTAATACAGCTTAGAAGAAAACAATGTTTAGAGTGCAGGATCAACTAGACCTATTCCCAGGTAAAGTAACCGAATATTGTTTAGTTATGTAATTTATTTAACAATTACATGTAAGTTATATAAACTAAAAACTTTATAGTAATTACTAACTTAAAAATGGTGGGTTGAAATTTTTTTAAATATAAGAAGCACTGAATTGATTATTAAAAGTGTTATGAATGTATTTTCTAAATCCTGCAAGTTTTTCATGTATTGTTGAAGTACACCAATTAAAAGTATAATTTAATGTTATGAATGTTGATATATGGAATATAGTATTTAATTAGTAATTTTCTAATTCTACAAAATAGGTACTGCATGGTTAAAATACATTGTTAACATAATGTTCAGTTTCTTAATTTTGATAAATGATCAATGATAACACATTCCACATTTGTTAGGAAAAATTAATTACAAATTATCAATTTGTTGATAATTTGTTTTAGTTGTATTACATATATTATTTTTATAATGGTTTTTTATCTGATTCCTAAGGAATTTTTTTTATTGTAAATTAAATTTAATTGAAATTAAGATAATATATTTATTAAACTATTATATTTATTTATATCTTATTAGCACAAATTGTTATATAATGCTATTTATTAAATATGATCAAATATATATGTAGTGGCAGTGAGAAGTTAAAATGTTATGACCTAATATTATATACTTTAATAATATTGATATTAATACTACTATTGCTATAACAAGTCTTTTTAGATCTCAAGAAAATTAAATTATGAAGTGCTTTTAAGATTATTGTAGACTTGTATGATATATTCATTGCATTTAACTAAAGTACTAAGAAAGTGCTATAAAGTATGTATACACATGTATTTAATTTTATCGTACATAATTCATACCCACATTGTATCATAAAAGAATGATTGGATTGGAAATGTATGTAAATTAGGGAACTTCAAGTTATTACTTAACCATATTTTTGTTTAGAAATTTCTTAAATTAAGAGTGGGTTCAATGATTATATACAGGGTGTTTTAGAACTCGATGGGGTGACTGTAGTAATTAAAATTAAATTAGATTTGAACAGATTGCGAGTAGAATGCTCTAACAATAAGAAAATGAGAGTTTATATAAAAGACCACTCACTGTATCACTAAACGAAAACTCAGTATGAAACTAATACTTGACAACTTTTCAAAGTCGACCGATTTTGCAAACTTTAAATTCATACTTTAACAAATAGTCTTAATTCTAGAAAATTTGGGGTAAATGTGTCCTTATTTTGGACTGTGGTCCTAAAAGTGTTATTTGTGGTTCCAAAGTTTAAAGAACAAAAATAATAAAACCTGAACACAATAACGGAATTATTGTCTTAGTCTGACCAAAGCTGTAGGTTGTACTTAAAAGCTCATAATTTTCACTGCGTGGGATAAAAAAATCTATTTTTCATTTTTCATAATACTGTTACCCCGTTTCAGTCTCATGTTGAGTTTTAGGACACCCAGTATAATGTGATAAGAATATTGTATACAGAATTCATTTTATTGAACAGTATTATATTATTTAGTCATTATTTTATTGATCGCTTTTCATCACGACATATCTCCATCATATCAACACAAACAAAAATATTATGCAATATATTGGCTTTAGTCATAATACTTGTGATATTTAATTTAGTATTTTTATTTATTATATTTCAAGTATCATGGTATTTGATATATTTTTAAATTTATTGTAAATAATTGTATATAGCTATTTTAATGAATTGATATTTTAATTACTTATTCGGCTTGGAAATTAAATTCAATCAAATCTGTTAGTCCAATATGTTGTGTCTATATATTTTTTTATGAAAAGAAAATAGTATTATCGTCTATAAATTTATTTGTTTTTATATTGTGCTATATATTTTTTTAAACGTAGACCAACTGAACCAAAATATAGCAATGTTATACTTCTTTATATATTCATAAAAATTATATAAACGAGTAGTTAAAGTGCATATGCCATTTAAAACAACGTTTTTTCACACAGTTTTAATAAAGTATTTGTGTTTAATTTATAGTTGTTAAGAAAGTGCGCTTAACTTTGTTCTTGCACTAGTTCTAATTCACATTTTTAATTATTAAGATATAAAGTGATATGATCATAATTTATATTTGTGCATGCTTAGACTTAAAGTTCAGAGTAACATAAATTAGGTAGAAAATGTCTTGAATATGTAATTTCGTTAGTTTTGTTTAATTTTATGCACACGAAACAATGGTCTATATTTATGATATTGGATTTTCTGAAATTGTTTGTGATATATACATGTACACATGTAGATATATACATGTATAATTAATTCATAACTATTGCATTGAAATATAAAATCTATAGTAATTTTAAAATTATAAAAATGTTTTATTTCTACGCAATGTCTGTAAACTAATTTCAACGTTAAAAAAATAAAATGCAAAATTTATATATGTATTATGTATATATATATATATATATATATATATATATAATTACATTTATAATATAAAGCTGTAATAGTATTGTTATGGAATACTTTATAACAAATTTACTTTTAATAAAAGCATATTCAAGAAAAATATGATCTTTGAATTTTATTTTTAGCATTATCTTCATTTACAGATAGATTTTTTACATTTTATTTTTGCTTAGTGTTATTATATGATAAACTAGCCATTAATTTAATTTTAAATTTTACTTCCAATTATTGTTTACATTGAAAATCTTTGATCCTTTACAAAATGATATAATTTCTTGGCAGGTAAGCTTATATCAATACAATATATTGAATGAATGCTAAATATATATATATATATATATATATATATATATTTATATTTATATTTATATATTTATATATATTTATATATTTACATATATAAATATAAGATTTATGTAAAATATAAGCATAAGTATGAATTCTTATAAATCAATTATACAATAAGTATTATAAAAAAAATATTGATGATCCAAGTATACAAAGGACTGAGACACTGAGATATAGTTGATTAATTTATAGTTGTTGAGAAAGTGCGTTTAACTTTGTTCTTGCAATTCTTCTGACCGGATGGATAGTTGCGTGCCACTGCCTTAATAAGTTGGACATTACTGATTAGATCCAGATGCCAGTAATCAAAATATTTATACATTTTTAAATTAAATTATAAATTTAAATTGTTGTTGATGGTCATATAAGCAAAATACAAAATGAATCAGCTTCTGTGCTATACTATTGCATTGGAACCTTTCCTTATACTTGGTGTATGAATAAAATATTTATGTAAAAATCTTACCTATTTTTTTATGCTTTATCTGCAAATATTTTACTCATTTTACTCAAGTGTAATTTTTGTCAGAAATTTAAAATTCGCGCGTTCGCTTCCCCTCTCGTCGACGTTTTTGCTTGGCTATGATCGTCGTATCTATGACAGGTTGAATATTTCTCTACGCTTTTAAGATGGCGGAAAGAATCAATATACCTGTAATTGAGTACCAATAAAATGATAAAATGCCACTGAAAATTAATCCTTAACTATTATAAATATGTGATTGTGAGAGAATTTTGCATTTTTGTTTATTTGTTTGTGTGAAAGTGTGTGTTTGTGTGTATTGTGCGTTATACAAATTGTGCAGAATTTTAAAATCGAACATCTTTATGATCGTAGGCGTTGTGGTCAATAAAGTGAATGGTAATAAAACATCAATCAAATCATTATGAATTTAAAGTGATGTGCAGTGATTATTTGATAAGTCACTATATCTCAAAAAGTAAGTAATCTTTAATACATATCTAACGATTGTTTATATGTGGAAATTCAGAGTTAGACTTTTCCATTTGCAAATATGAGCGACATAACAAACTCTTGTTCTTGTTGACTAATATTTTTATTACTAAAATTAAATCATATTTGTGTATTTGATGCGATATCTGAATGAATATAATATATTTTTATATTGACGAACGTAATGTTTTCCAATTGTTGATAATTAATTATACTGTTGTGACATTATCATGCCCGACGCTAAAGCAATAACTCATAAGAAACCAATTAACAATTCATAATGATAACAAATACTTAAATGATTAATATCTGTGCAAAATAACGTTTAGAAATGAATTCGTAAACATTTGAAATTATGTAAATATACATTAGTTAATTATTCAACAACCCATACCTGATAAAATATTCAACTCTATAAATATTGCCAGTGTTTGTTTGAAATTTGAAGCTAATTTCATAACAACTGATAAGTAATGTTTATTTAAAATATTTTATAACATAAATTCTTGAGTGTTGTAACGTATTGAGGAGCGGTTGATAATCAGTTATATTATTGAAATTTTTATATAAATAGGTTAGCATCCGAGCTCCTTGTTTGTGATTAAGGACGAACACAAATGTATATCAAGTAGAGATGGCCTCAACCCAGGGTGAGATTAGAGTTGGTCCCGGGCACCAGGTAAAAGACATATATGTACGTAACACAAGACAAAACGGTAGTACCAAACCAAATTTCAAAATTTTATTGATTATATTAGCTTCAGTGTCATTTGATTGAATTATATGCTTTGAAACGCTCAGAGTTGTACTGATGAACATCTCACGCATTGGATAATTGATACTTTGTTTTTATTACATAAATATAACTTTTGATGGATTGTTGTCTTGGATTTGTATGTGTTGTGTTGAGATAAAAATTATATATAATACATGATAGGATTTATAAAGAATTAAATTAAAATAAAAATGACATACTGCAGGAATAATAACAGAATATATTTATAAATCCATATAGTAGACTAAAATAAGGGTATGGGAGTTTTCGCAGAAATTTGAATTTAATTCAAAAACAGCACATACAAGTAATGTATGAGTTTGAAATTCCTAGCATTATTAAAATTTATTTAATTTCTATTTAAGATTTTGTAATGTTTATAACAATTTCGGTGTAATGTTTGAGAATGTTTATCTGTTACAATTTTGCAGAACTTCCACATAATATTTTAAGTCAAACGGCATATGAAGCTAAAGTTTAGTTTTGTATTGTACAATATTGGACAAATTCATACAACTTGATTTCTGTTTCCAGTCAAATTCATTTATTCATAAATACATTAATTCTTTGGTTTAATTATCACATTACTACATCCTATAATTTAATCATATCATATAATTTTTTTAATTCATCAAGCTTGCAGTTTATTAGTTCTATCAACATGTAAGAATGAAAAAAGTGCTTGGTTCATCCATTTATATTGCTTATTGGCTGCAATAGAAATCAAATTGTTAAAATTCTCTATATTGGTATCTAACTTTGCAAATTGGATTGACGGCATGACGTATTAGGTTTATGTGCAATAATTTATTGTACTCCTTATGTGTTATGTAAATACATATAATTAGTATTATATTCATTCTATTTTAGTTATAAGTTACTAGTAATTATTTAGGAGAATGTTATGAATTAGGATATCTAATAAGATCATTTCATATTGTAAATATTTATAATTAAAAGTGAAACTATATATGTAATATTGCTCGTGATTCTCTTCCCTTCACAATATTTACTTGTTATATCTACAACATTTGTTTTATGTTTTAAATTCTTAGTCGATACATTAATTAATTTTTTTTTATATCTATATTTTATTAACATCAATTACACTGAAAATCATATATGATTTTTAAGTTTTATTATTTTTTATTAACTTCCCGTAGGGTAAGTTATTGTAATGGGCCGAAAATCGGAATTGAAAATTTTTACATTTCTCGACGTTTTGAAGGTTTCTGAACGTTTTGGCATACCTCAGAAAAAATGGATGTGTGTGTGTATGTGTGTGTGTGTGTGTGTGTGTGTGTGTATGTATGTGTGGATACAAATTTCCAGTCACGTTTTAGGGCGCACGGATCAACCGATTTGAATGGTTCAAAAAACATTCGATTCCTATTGATAGGGAAAAGAGCTGATTAGTTTTTGGCAAAGGCAGGTCCAGCCGTTTCGGAGATACCGAGCAAAGAGTGCAGAAAATAGAAATCGAATTTTTGAGCGAACGGAGTATCCGATTTGAATGATCTAAAAAACATTCCATTAGTAATGATTGGGAGAAAGGGTTATTAGTTTTTCGCAAAGGCAGGCCCAGCCATTTCGGAGATACAGAGCTAAATGTACAAAAAATGGCAGTTTTTGAGAGAACTAAGCGTCCGATTCAATTGATTCAAAGAACTTTCTGCTTGTCTTAACAAAATAATTGATTTTGGAAAAAAAAAAAATTGTACCATTTTTTTTTTTTTTTTTTTTTTTTTTTTTTTTTTTTTTTTTTTTTTTTTTTTTTTAAATTTTTTGTATATCGAAAATAATTCAGATTTTATTTTTAATTCTGACTATAGTTCTAATATACTTTAAACAAATAATTTCAACTCTGCAATTCAGTTTATATAATTATTATAAATATTAGACAATAATACAATATTTATAATAATCTATTTAAAAACATTCAATATTTCTCGAACGTTTCGTTACGGTACGGGAAGTTCCAGCAATTTGCCTTAAGGCACGATGCCACCCACCCCACTAGTTTATGATCTAATTTGAATAGGGTAGCGCGGGGCACAAAGGTCCAATTTGACTTTCAGTAATTTTACTGTCTAATCTAAAAACCTATTTAATAGCACATAACTATCTACTAATTATATTAATTATTCAATTAATTGTGTATAGCATCGTGTCTTAAGGCAAATTGCTGGAACTTAAACCGTACCGTAACGAAATGTTCGAGGAATATTAAATGTTTTCAATATAGATTATTATAAATACTGTAACATTGTCTAATATTTATAAAAGTAATATAAACTGAATTACAAAGTTTAAATTTTTTATTTAAAGTATATAAGTGAGCTTTAGAACTTTAGCCAGAATTCAACTTAAAATCTGAATTATTTTCGATACACAAAAAACAATTGAAAATTTGAAAAAAAAAATTTAAAGGCAATTATTTGGTTAAAAAATACAGAAAGTTTCGGATGCTTAGTTCTCTCAATAACTGCCATTTTTTGTACATTTAGCTCGGTATCTCCAAAACGGCTGGACCTGACTTTGCCAGAAACTAAACACTATTTCTCCCCATGATTACGAATGGAATGTTTTTTTGGATTATTCAAATCTGATGCTGCGTTCTCTCAAAAACTCGATTTCTATTTTCTGCACTCTTTGCTTCGTATCTCCGTAACGACTGGGCCTGGCTTTGCCAAAAACTAATCAGCACATCTCTCTATCAATATGTTTTTTGGAACGTGAACGAAAAAATGCGGACACACAAAACATGCACGCACACATCTATTTTTTCTGAAGTATGCCAAAATGTTCAGAAACCTCTGAAACGTGAAAATACGCAAAAATTTTCATTTTCAATTTTCGGCTCATTACTATAACTACCCTACGGGAGGTTAAATATATATTTTTAGCTATTTTTCTAAAATTTGTCATCTGTCCCTTTTTGCCCAGACCAGATACTACGACTTTGGTTTCAATTTTAAATGAATTTTACGTAATGCATTTTTTAACCAATGTGAATCACAAATTTTATGTGATTTTTTTTCCCAAACATTTCATTTTACACTTTGATCTGGTATTTCGAAAAAAATATTGACCGGTAGAGGTCTAATAATTATTAGTTTATCTCGTACTTTTTTTAACTTGATTTATTTACTATTTTTATTATAGGTTTAGTTGGCCCTTTTTACCCCACCCACATGTAAGCTTTTACAGAGATTATATAAAAAAAAACTACTAACGAAAAAAAATACTATTAGATAAACAAGAATGCTTTTAGAATATTGATTCATTTTCTTTTATCTCCTGATAGCAACTTAGCCCGAATTAAGCTGGTGATGGCTGGTTACACATCTTTTGCCTTCTACTGTAAAATAGTACCACTAAAAAAAACCTATACTTTGAGTAGAACTTTTTACTCCGCTCTACCCTACATGATTTCATTTATTTCAATTTATTGATATGTATATGTATATTTTATGTATTATACAAATACAAAATATTTAAAATACAGCCATCACTGATTATTTTTATTGTTCAATATAAATTACTAGTATGTTTTACAAATGTTTGGTTAGTCATTGTTTTTTATTATTTTCAAACATATTGTAGTGACTCATTATGATTTATTATATAAACAAATATATTTGAAGTTAATGGATCAGATGAAGGCGTTGCTTTATAGCTATTGAATAACTTTTTTTTAAAGCTGTAGTAAAAAAAAGTGTCGTAGGCAAAATTCTCAATTATTGCATGCAATTACATTTGTGTACAAAAAACAGCTCTAGTATATATTTTTAAATTTTTAACAGACATTTTTTTTAAAAAAATCTTTGCAATATAGTTTGTTGTATATGTGCAAGTACTGAGAATCGTTTGTGGTGTAGAGAAGTGTTTCCCAACAGTTAAATGAACGAATAGCTTATAAAAAGTTATATTAATTATATAACTTCAATACTAACTAAATTGTTATTACAAGATTTTTAGCCAATTAACTGTGGCAAGTATACTAGTCATGGAGAAATACCAGAATATCAGTAAACAATAGCTATTTAAATTGCAATTTCTTAGAAAAACAAGTAAAATCTCTAATTTCAAGACGTTTGAAATATTTTGAAGCTATGACCATAAATGTAAAAAATAAGTAGAAAATTTTACCTTAAGCCAAGAAGCGTGAATTTTCTAAAATGTGGAAATAATATACTTAATCAATAAAAAATGTGATTTAGCTATTTAAATAACATTTAATCTGCTTACTTTGGAAATAAAATTTTTGCTTTTAATTAAAAACTAATGAGTGCAATTTCCAATTGAGTTATTTTCATAGCATTTTCATTGCAACATTCTAATACCTGTTGTATCATATTATTTTATATCAAACCACTTTTCGTTGGTCTATAATATTTTACAACGCTCGTATAACTCCATGATAAGAATTTGAATTCCTACTTTTATACGAACTTACTGCATTTCTAGTTCAATACGTATGTAATACATGCTTATGTTAACCAAATAATTATAATGCAGTAATAAAATTTTCAAATTTGTAAAATCATTTTACCAACGGCAACTAATTCTTTTATTGACGATGTATCGATTCTAACCACACAAAATTGTGCGATTACCACGCCACAGTTAACTGGTTAATAATAATAATCTAATCTCGGATTAGTTTAAATTAAAAAAAAAACGTATCTAAAATAAGTATAAATTTGTCGACAACCATCGCGTTCTTTAAAGTATAAAAGCCTCTCTATTATCATCTTGAATTTCTGACGTGTCTTTTTTTTCTCCTGTTGGGAAATACTGGTGTAGAGTAACTTCGTTTGGTATGGTAGTTTCATGGTGGCCCTTTCACGTAGTACGGTATCGATTACCAGGATATTGTTGTAATTATTTGGAAATCAGGCTCGCCTCCCTGATTACCGCCCGGGAATACCAGCCGATCAACTCCAGCCAGATCCGGAATTCTTGAAGGAGCGCGAAGAGCTGCGATGGGTGCCGCAGATGACACTGGACAGTGACCTACTTATGTACTTGAGGGCGGCGAGGTCCATGGCCGCGTTTGCAGGTACATAAGACTTGAAACATCCAGTTAAAAATCGAAATAGAATTTTAAAATAGTCATTTAAGTGTTACTAAATAAGTGGATATGTATTGTCTTGCCGTTCAGTTCTATTAACTCTTACAACTTATTATAAGAAATTCCAAATATGATTGAAGAAATTCTACAACTACAGGTATGTGTGATGGCGCCTCTCCAGATGACGGTTGTGTTGCAGCAAGTAGGGATGATACCACCATTAATGCTCTCGATGTGGTAACTAATCATTTATTATGGTGGTTTATTAAAAATATCAATTTCACAGCAAGTTTCTGACCTCTGTGAATATATTTTAGCTACATGATTCAGCATATGATCCTGGTAAGGCTTTACAGGCACTAGTTAAATGTCCAGTGCCAAGAGGGATTGATAAAAAGTGGACTGAAGAAGAAACGAAGCGGTTCGTTAAGGGATTGCGGCAATTCGGTAAAAATTTCTTTAGGATAAGAAAAGATCTGCTGCAGCATAAAGAAACGGTAGGAAATTAATATTCTTTTCCACTTTATTGATATCAAGGTGTTTAACGATGTGTTCCTTGTTTTCAGTCTGAGTTAGTCGAGTTCTATTATCTTTGGAAGAAAACTCCGGGTGCTAACAACAATCGACCACACAGACGGCGTAGGCAAGGTTCTTTACGCCGTATTCGGAACAATAGGAATACCAGGACTGGAACGCCGAAGGAACCTGTCCCAGAAGTAGCAACAGTATGTTACAGTTTCTTTAATTAAATTTACTTCAATGGATGTTAGTCAACTTTTATAATGTACTTTCTACAGCAGGAAGTTACAGTATCTCCTCAACCCACTTCAAATCCTAAAGAACTTGGTGAAACAAGCTCGGTCACTGAAGATGATAATTCTGAAGATGATAGTGACTCAAGGGACTTTGTATACAGATGTCAACACTGTTTCACAACTGGTAACTTTATATAAAAAATCTCATTGTTTGTTTTTCTTTTTATTACATTTAAAGTTTTCCAAATAGATTCAAGAGATTGGCAACACAATGGTACTGGGAAAGATCGAACGCTACTTTGTAGTGAATGCCGAGCGCATTTGAAGAAAACTGGGGAATTGCCTCCTCTACCAGCATCTGTACCTGGAACACCTTCTATACCAACAAGTTCTTGTGGAAAGAATTTGAATGATTCTTCATTTTTGTTCCGGCCGGTTGAAACTGAAAGTCCGAGTGATTCACCTAGTCGGATGCGAACTAGAAACAAGGCAGCAAAAGAACAAGTTTGTGCAATATTATCTTTTTATTACATCATTGTTTCTGCTTGAGTTTGTTCATAATTTTGAGGTGAATGTTTTGCAATTTATAGGCTAAAAATACCGTCCTGTATGCCTTTCTTTTAGTTGATTTCATTAACTTGTTATAAATTTGCTATTTAAAATAAATCACCCTTTCAGCCTGTAATAGGCGGGGCTTATTTAAAGGGTATTTTTCTACAGTAGTTCATTTTATTGTGATTATGGTGATTTTATTATAAACAGTTAAAGATAATATTTACGGAAATGAAAGTTGATTGACTATATCCAAATTACTTTGACAATAATTTTATCTGAAAATTTTATACCACCATCAGCCTGCACGTGCTCGACCTAAACGCGGAAATGGTACTGAATCAGAGTCAAATGAAACTTATGATAAGCCTATAAAATCACCAGCAAAACCTGGTACTAACAGTTGTACCAATTCACCTAATGACAAAGTAGCTACTGCAGCTTCAGGTAAACGTAAATCATCTAGTGGCAAATCTGATGCCAATAGTAAAGGTAGAAAAAGGCTGCAGGATAAAATTGATGGTGAAACAGATGTGGACGATAAGGATATGGCTTTGTTCAAAAGAAAACGTGCTGATCGTCCAGATGTGAGAATAGAACAATCCGATTATTTTTATTTTTGCAATCTTTATTTATACTAATTTTTTTTGTTCTGTTTTAGAGCCCATCTGAGAGCCTCACCACAGATAGCGGTTCTGTTGTGGATGATGTTGACAATACAGAAAATGAAGTGGATACCTCAGAGGCAAACAGCACATCTGTAGTTGATACGCCTAAAGTGGAAGATAGCGAGTCAAGTGCTGAAGCTAGCAAGGTTGTAGTTACACCTCCTGTTAATTCTGAAAAGGGTAGTATGAAGATTGCCTTGACACCTGATCCATTGATTATAAAGAAGGAAGATCCTGATAGCAAGTACAAAAAAGATTTTGATAATGCAATACATCCCATTTTTATTAATAGAGATGATATCAAGAAGTTTGATGAAGATATCAAGGTAAAGGACATAGTTATTAAAACTGAAGACCCCTTATGTGACGTTAAACCTACTGTGCTTCTTGAGTGCAAATCAGAGTTGATTATCCCTAAGGTAATGGTAGAAGAGAATTTCAAAGAAGGCAAAGTTGTAATAAAGGAAGAAATTGAAACATCAAATGAAGCGTCTGTATTTTCTACTGCAAAGGATGTTGATGATAACCAGCCGTACAATAATGCAAATCAGAAAGTATATAATACAATAAATACAAGTGTAGGCCCACAAAATTTGAATATCAAGGATCATAATGCGTATCAGATAGATGAATTATCTCATAATTTATCAGCATCCTCACCTGTGAAGGAAGATTTGCTGATGAATAAAAAACATGTCATAAAAGAAACAACGCCAACAAAACAAATTACAAAGGAATTATTTTCTGTCACTCCTCCAGTATCACAACATTCTCAGAATTTGTCAGTGAAGGAAGTTCAAAGTCATGCTAATAAAAGTGAATATTTCCAAACTGTTGAGCAAGAAAGGGATAATTCACATATTAATCCAAATGCACCAGCAAATGCTGTTATAAAACTTGAACCACGTGACAAAGATGACGCTATTGAATTGACTAATCCTGGTGTAAGGTTGATGGAAAATATGTATGTTCCTAACTCGAACTCCAATGTGATATTAAATATGAATATTTCAAATATACAAAGACATCCATCTCCTATGTCTATGCACAAAGTTCCAACTTTTCCTCCTGTTAATCAAGTAATTAAATCCAATGAAATAGAAGAGCGTTCAACAACACCAACATCACAATCACTACGAACAGAAATAAATGTGCCTATAATAAAACCGGAAACAAATTTGCAGGTTCTTCCTACAAGGACTGAGTCAAGCATTTGTGCCCCAGTGGCTCCATTAAATCTGGGTCCACCACAAATTGGTCAACCGCCATTACCAAGCATGATGCAAACTGGCAACCTGGTTACAATTGGTGGTGGAATGTCTACAAATCCTCCTGGGATGCCTTCTCATTATGGTTACATACAGGGATCACCATATCAACCTCGAAGCATATCTGATAAAAACCCAGCATCTATTTCGGTGTTGCCACATATGGTGTCAAATGCACCTAGTATGATTAGCCAGAATAATGTGCCAACTTCTCAACCCATAATTATTAACAATAGTGAACACATAGCTCAAATGAATCAAAATGAGCCTCAAAATTTGAAAATAAAGCAGGAAATTCGAGATCCTTCGCCCTCGATGCATCAGCCTATTGCTACGCCTCCTGCACACCAACATCCAGAAAATGTGCCTCAAGGATTAATAGATCCTTTGCAGTCTCTCAAAGATGTAAAAGTACCTGGTTTTGCTTTAAGTTCAAATCCTAGTATATCTCAGCCACTGCCCAGTAACAATAGTTCTACAAATAATATTTTATCAAGTTCAGGCCATATTCAAGAGCCACTTGATATACGATCACAGAGCAATAATGCATTTTTAGCACCAACTATTGATATTAAAAAGGAACCTGAATTTGGTAATTCACAAAATCATCATGGGTCAAGTCAACATCAAGTTGGACAAAATCCTCCAGCTGCGCATACTCCTTCTATGAAGAGTCCTCAACCATCACAAGTGAAACTTACTCCTTCCAGTACTCCTCAAGGTTCTTATCATAACTCTGCTTACCAACCATCAACTCCGCCGATATCCAGGCATTTGACAACACCACCAATTTCCCAGTCTTTGACTATGACTCATCCAGCCATAAATCTAATTAATCCCAACCCATCTCCTTTGCCACCACCTACATCAATTCCTGGACCTGTTATGCATCCATCTCAACAGCCTAGCCCTCATCCTCACCCATTCCCAGGGCCTTTACACCATCCTCATCATGCACTGATACATCATCCATTGTTTGCTGCGGCAGCCGCTGCTCATGCAATGCATCCTTATCATGCACATGCTTATGCATATCCTTTTCCTTATCCATATCCTTATGGCCCAATTCCGCAACCTCATCCTATTCCTCCACCCCATAATCCTCCATCCAGTACTCCAAGCAGACATGAGTCAGCTTTAGCTTTGCCCAAATCTAGTTCAATTGAATCCACTACAATGATGACGTCGCATCATAGTTCTAGTTCTTCCGTTACAACTCGTTCATTACGTGAAATACGTGAGACGACTGAAGATCCTCAGAATCCTAATAATCCAACTTCAGAGAGGCATCAAACACATGAAACTACTATGATGCATCATCATTCTACAAGTCATCATAGTTCAGTTCATACAAGCTCTGAAAAACAACCGAATTATGGAGGAACAAATCATTCATTGACTATTTCACATTCCACATCGAGCAGTACCTCTCAGACTGTGCAGCATAAAATAAATACGCAACAGAAGACAAGTGTTCGAACAAGTTCTCCTCATGCTCATGCGTCTGCTAGTTTGTCGCAAAGCACATCATCTAGTATTAATATGCCATCAAGTCATTCGCACCATCATACGCATCATCATGCTCACCATCACGAGAGACTTTCTCCTGCAAATCAATTGCTAGTACCACCAAGCATAAGGCATCATCCTCATGGTAAACCTTATGTGAGTAATAGTCATCTAATGGTGCAGCCTCCAAATATGAGCCATCATGGACCTCTTGGTGAGTATTGTTGTTGTTGGTGTTTTGAATTCCTTTATAAGCTAATTTTATATGCAAACTTTATTTGCTGTGCTAGGTCCTCCAACGATGGCTGGAAGTTCTCTGGAACAACTTAGAGCTCACGCACAAGCTGCTCAAATGCAACAAAATATGCCTTCCCAGATGCATCCTCCTCCAAGTTCTCCACAACAAATTCAACCTCCACATGGTAAATAATACATGAGTTTTAAGTGATAATCTGCTTTCTATATAATGGTTTTGAGACAATTAAATTTTTCTGTAGGTCATGGAAATCATCATAGGCCATCACATATGTCTGAGGAAATGAAGCAAGAACCTCATGACTCCCGAACACCAGATGTAGACCCTCATTCGGGGCAAATTAATTTAGAAGAGGAAGAGGTACCAAGTCCATCACACATTCAAAGAGGTCCTAGTCCTGAACCAAAAATAGAAGATACTGAATGCCATCGCTCTCAATCTGCAATGTTAGTATTTTGCATTTGTTGGCATTATTCAGTATGATATTTTCATTTATCATTTACAGTTTCTTACGGCATTGGAATCGCGGTGACTACAATTCATGTACTCGTACTGATTTAATTTTTAAACCTGTCCCTGATTCAAAATTAGCTCGAAAGCGGGAAGAGAGGCTTCGCAAGCAAGCAGAGAGAGAAAGGGAGGAGAGGGAGAAAGTTGTACAACAAGCACAAGCCGTAAGTCATAATTTTATATACAATATAAATCTGATTATAATTTACTGAAAATATAAATTAAATATTACAGAGAAAGATTGCAACACCTGAGAAACCGGACATCAAGCCACCATCTAGAGGACCAATTGAAACAATTACATCACCTTATGATAGGTTTCCACGTCAAGGTTATCCTGATACTCCAGCTTTAAGACAGCTGTCTGAATATGCTCGGCCGCATGCAGGCTTCAGTCCAGGCAACTTGCAAAGAGGAGCTGCTTTGGGAATATCACCTCACTGTATCGATCCTATGTTACAGTACCAACTCAATACAATGTATGGTCCTGGAGCAAGAGAAAGGTTGGTTAAAATCACTGATCAGTATATTTTCCTACAAGGAAAATGTCAGGTTTTTTCACCTAAGATTTTTTTGGAAGTTTGGGTAGTGAGATGATAATCAAACCCCTGGAAATATGTCATGCCTATGAGGGTTTGCTTTTAATAAATCTATCACTCTGCAAAGTTTCATCAGAATAGCATATGAATGAACATTAGACATAGGTTTTTAGATGAAAATAATAAAATATTTCATATTCTTAGGTTGGAGTTAGAGCATATAGAGCGCGAGAAACGAGAACGTGAATTAAGAGAACTTCGAGAACGGGAGCTGAATGATAGGCTTAAGGAAGAACTTATGAAAAATGCAGGTGCTGGACCAAGGTTAGGAAATCCAATGGATCCACATTGGCTTGATCTTCAAAGAAGGTAAATTTTTATCTTTTTTTTTTAACATATGCATCTTCCATGTTTGAATAATTAGTTTATTGACAACAAAAAATAAATTAATAATTCAATTAGTCACATTTAATACTTACAAAGAGTTCAAACTGTGTTATGTTTCTGAATATGCATTCAAAATTTTAATTTTATTAGGAAACTATAAAATTTCCTATCACAAAATATAGCAGTGGAGTAAACATTCGTTTTTTTTAAAGGTACTCTGCAGTGGGTCTTGGATCCGGTCCTGGGGGTCCTCCACAGCCAGGAATGCCTCCTATGCACCATCTTGGTCTATATGGGGCACCACCAACAGGACCTGGTCAACCTTCTTTGTCACAATTGGAACGAGAACGATTAGACAGATTAGGAATACCTCATCCAGGTTCTGCTGGACCCCCTGGAAGTATAGGTCCGAATCCAGGTGGACCAGGTGGACCACCGTCTCATCACCCTCATCATCCTCATCCAAGTAGTGTTGCTGCTGCTCAATTGGAAGCAGCCGAACGAATGGCGCTTGCAACTGATCCTATGGCAAGTTATATTCAGTTTTATCAGAATATTTCTTACATGTATATATGATGTATATGTTAAGATTTATGCATCTTAAATATTTTGTAGGTCAAAGTTTTTTATTTTAATTATTGTTTGTAATATTATAAAGCAAATTAATATAGATAAGTTTAACACGATCAAGGTGTGATCAAGCCACTGCATGAGACTTATTACCTTTATTTCATTATTTTAGTATTAAATTTTCACAGGTACGATTACAGATGGCTGGCATTAGTCCGGAGTACCACGCTCACACGCATGCGCATACGCACGCGCACTCGCACACCCACCTACACCTTCATCCTGGACAGCAGGCGGCGCAGGCACAACAGGCTCAACAGGAGAGTGCTGCCGCTGCAGCAGGTTTCCCCCTGCCAGGTACATATCGAAGTATGCACCCTTTTTTTATTTGTATCTTTAGTTTAGTTATAGTTAGTTTTAGTTTTTAAATTATTATGATTCGCAGCATGGTTCTGTAGATATTATATGGAATTTTTATATTTATGATAATTCTAAGTACTTGGATGGAAAAGTTCAATCATATATATTTATTCAACTTTTTTTTTTACACATTATAGATTGTTGAATATTGTAAGGATTTCAAATACAGTGGCACCTCGACATATGAGTTTAATTCAATCTGTATCCATACTCGTATGTTGAATAAATATTTCTATCGTAGGAAAATCATTGTTACAACTGACGAAATTTTATACTCTCGAAGCAAACGAAATCGCTCTTTTGGCGACTCGTATCTCAAAACACTCGTATGTCAGGTCATTCGTAATTCGGGGTACCACCGTATTCTTTGTATTCATGCATTAGCTATTAAATTTAAATTTGAAATTTTACATTTACAAAGTGAGTAATAATTATAACAAATAGTAGTCTGCCTGATGGCAGGTCCACGGTGTGAGAGCACCACAAATTGATGATTTCCTTTCCTTTCCTTGTTTATTATTCCCATTATCGTTTTATTACCATTAATCACTTTTTATTCAATTTTATGCATTTTCCTTACCAAACTTTTGCTTCCATGTTTCCTGTTCCTGTGCTTCAGTTTTCTGTATTGTCTCCTCGCGTGTGAAGGTATTTATAGGTATTTATCCATTTTGTGTTCTTTTAATAATTGTACATTTATAAGTATAATTGAGTATACTTGTACCTCGTTTTGCGACGCTGTTTAATTGTTGTCATTTTTATCTACTATCCTGGCAGCGAATTAAAACCAAGTGATAGTTGTGAATATCAATTGCTACAAGGAAATTTATTTTATGTTGAAAAGAAAAGCTGTTCAGCAAAGATTGGACCATCTTTTTATTTTGTAAAAGAAAGCTGTCTTATAACAACCAGACAGGCTGTAATTATAATTTCGTTTTTGTAATGTTTTAGTATTAATTAATTTTGCGTCGCATTTTTTTTTTCAAATCTAACTGCGACACAAAGTGAGGTATGGGTGTATTACAAATTGTATATTTCTTATAGAAACTTAAATATTTTATGAATGATATTTATTTGGTAGATTTTTTTTGTATGTTATTGTTCAATATTGGATAATTTTTTAAAAATCTTGTTTGTTTTGCATTGCTGTAAAAGGTGCAACAATATGCAAAATTTTAATTAAACTAATACTTTCATTTTCAGCATCTGCTTCAGCAGGTTACCCAAGGCCTAGTATTTTGCCCAGTCGAGAAGCTGCTTTAGGTCTGCATCATCCGGACTTATTGAGTAGGCCCTATGCAGATCAACTGGCACATCAGGTATTTAGTAATGCTCATATTAATTTATTTAATAATGCGTTAACAATTGAATTAAATTGCATGTTTGTTATATTTATTAGGCTGTAGCCCATGAACATCTGCAAAGACAAATTCTTTTAGAGCGTGAACGGTTTCCTCACCCTTCCTTAGTTCACCATGCGCAACATGAAGAATTTATGAGGTACCACTAGTTTAGTTTGCTTTTTTTATGTATGTAGTTTTCATAGTAATGATGATTTATTATTCAGACAACGAGAGAGAGAAATGAAAGTTCGCGCATTGGAAGAAGCTGCTAGAGGCTCCCGTTCATAAACAACAATCGTGATAATTAAAAAATTCTAATATAATTCTTGAACTTTGGAATTATTTTTTTATGACAAAAATATAATAGTTAAGAGATTTATATTTAAAATGCAACTAATTTCCTAGTTATCAGGAAATTTTCCATTATGTAAAAGAAAGATTTCAATACTTAATATAAGAAAAATTAGACTTAAATATTTAAATTAGCAATAGTTTAATTCTATTTGGCACAACCAAAGGTTTTATTTTATCAAGTGCCTATGTTCTGCAAAGAAACAAGGACTTTTTTATATAAAAATCTAATTACAAAATAATTAGTTGAATTATGATTAAAATATATGATATTTATATTATATTCTAGAATGAGCCAATATTATACACATAAAAATAAAATATTAATTCTGCAGTACTGAATTTTTAATATTCTAAATATTCAATTATTGCTCATTTTCATACTAAAATTGTTACACCATAAAATTTGTACATGTAAAAAAGTAATATATTTTTAAATAAACACTTTACCACAATATAAATGGGTTGTACATAAATATGAATCGATGTATTTACATACACATCAATATAAACTAAACAATAAACAATATTACAGACGACAGAAAATGTAATGTAATTTGTACATTTGCCTGCATTTTGTATCTGTATGAGTTAATATTGAATTAATATACAATCAAGATCGACAATTTATTTTCTTTTCACATGATGCATAATTCACTCATCAATTTCAGCATTTTTAATTTTACTAGTCAAAACTAATTGATTATACTATACGTCTATTAGTAGTGACCTACTAGGATAAAGATTCTATCCTAGAGAAAGAGTATTGTACAGACAAAATGATATCCGGAGAAAGATTAAGAAACACCCTGGTTGGACTGACATACTCTCTTGTCGATACAAGAAGCTCAATTAATAAAATAAGTACCTTACTAAATTTGCATACATTGATATATTCTGTTGTTACAAAGTGTAAACTCTATTTAATAAATACTCAAGTCGTATATCACTGCATAACGCATGATATGGCTTTAAAATTTTTGAAATCAATAATAATCGCATTTTTTTGAAAGCAATTATATTGTTTTGGCTAGAGCCTGATTAAATGTTTATTAAATAAATTAAATCTTGGATCCTCGTCCCTGCCGGTGCGGCCGGCAGCATAAAGTACGAATTTGATTCCTGGGGTAGTCTCCCATTTAAGTCAAAAGCCATGCCTATGGTGCGCCACGGACATTCGGCGAACTAAAATTCCATTCGCGAGTGTCAAATCCAATATTAACATTCGGTTTATCAAGATCAACATGGCAGAAGTAGCTATTGGTTATATCATGTGATGTCTTAATAAATAATAATAATGTGATATTTTTGTTTTTGAGTGTATAAAAGTATCCGTAAACATGACTGATTTAAATACCGCCGCGATTGCGGATATAAAAAAACCCGAGGAGGTTGTTACGATGGCCATTAATGATAATTTGAAATTTGCTGTGTTGATAGGACTCATCGAAGTTGGACAAGTTTCGAATAGAGAAGTTGTAAATACTATTCTTCAACTGGTGAGTTCTTATACTTCAGTATATGCAAACAAATTTATATTATAATAATTGGTCTCATACGGCCGATACGATACGTTTGGGCATTTTGTAAGTTTTACTGTAAACAAAGGCTTGTCAAATGTTGACAACCGGCTAGGGAAATAGATTTACTTTTGACCAATAATGGTTTTAAGACTCTTAATATGTCATATGTGTCTATATATATGTACAGTGTAAATTAGGATATGTAAAAATATTAATTTATCTAAAAATTGATCGACGACTGACAGCTGTCATATACAGATAAATTAAAATCCTTTCAAAAACGTTCAGAAAAGGAGTTGTATTGTAAATATATAATGCACAACACAAAGATCACAATTACAACTACGACTTGATTTTGTTACAAAAGTTAATGCATTGATGCAGCAAATTATCATAACCCATGTGGTTTTTATATTATTCAAGAAAACAAATTGTTTCAAATTTTACATTGTACAGTATATGTCAATATTCTATATGATCAATTTTTTAACCGATCTCCTATTGCTGTCTTCGCTATTTCTGTCGTCCAGGTTTATTAAATTTACAGCTTTACTTGGTTTAAATAAAGATCAATAAAATACAATACATCGCTCACTGTGCTGATAAATTCAAATGTGCTATAACACTTATATTGAATGATGTAGATACAATATATCATATGTTGAATTTTATTAACTTCTCTAAACTTTTTCCACTTCTGACAGCTGTCATATATTGATATTTTAAATTCCTTTTCAATTGTACTTGTAAATGATTTATGTACATTGCAGCAAAGATCACAATAGTTGTACTATAATTTGATTTAGAAATTATCATAACCCATGTGGTTTCTATATTATACAAAAAAACAAACAACTTAAATTGTATATTATGTATGAATATTTCATTCCACTTTTCGATCAGTCTGACTTTGTCTATGTTGTGTTCGTCTTCTAGCTTTACATAAATGTACCTCTTTACATAAATGCAAAACACTGTAAATTGTTCACCATGCTGATAAGTTTATGTATATATATATATATATATATATATATATATATACATACGATACAGCTGCAATATATCAACATTCTTCAACTTTTAATTCAAATGTTTTCTTAATTCTAACACAAATTATAATTTTCATGGATATGGTGCATTCGAATAGCTCTTGGTGTCTATGAAATAATTAATTTTCATTTGCCTTCATGCTTGTGGTTGAATGGTGATTCTACACGAGGAAAAAATGTTAATTTGAAAAAGATACTTTATTGGGCTCTATCTAGATGGCATGGATAATAACACAATTCTTATTTTTATTATTGAGTATATTTAATTTTTTTTTAGTAATAAATAATTTAGTAATAATTTTATTTTGTATAGTATTTACTGTATTAGAGTTGTGTTTTTAACCATTAGCTTTCATTTCTTACACTGGTCAACGGCATTTAGTTTGTCTTGGATATTGAATGGATTCCACAACTCATATTTGGTTTTTGACACTGGTTTTCTTCACCAAATTATTTTTTTGAATTCTACTAAATGGTTTTTAGAGGAGTATAATATTTAATATTTATATTATATATGAACATTTTGTATTTTGGTAAACGGATATAGAAATATATTTTTGGTACGATTATTGAGAAATTTGCTTACTAGAAGGATAGAAATCTAGCTTTCAAGTTTGTTGCTAAGTAGCTTGGAGAACTTTCTCTGTAACACAATACTTCTACTTTTTCTTTCGAATCAGATAATTTTTGTAAATCTGTACTCTTCGCTAGCCTTTAGATAAGTTTTTTTATTCACTGCAAGCTCGTGTTAAGCTTTTATTATATCTGGCAATTTTAGTGTTTTTTTTAAGAGTTTTTTCAACATTATGTAGGTAAATGTTTTTTCTGACTTAAATTAGTATGAAAACCAGGTAAAGGTGTGAAATCTATGAAGATATCCTGGGTATTACAAAATGCTTTTTTTGTTGAACAGTTTTCTAGAATTATTTTTTGTGCCCTACAAATAACATAATTATTGCACAATAACAAACTATTTGTAAAATGTTTTTTCTTCTGTTTACAGTTCTAATGTGGCTTATAAAATATTTCATATTTGATTCACTTTAAATACATGATATTTTTGTATGTACTTTATTATTTGTTAATACATTATGTTTGAAAAATCTTATTTTGTTGTTTTTATTGTTCAATTTTTTTTCTCATTTATGTGTTGATTTATTTATATGAAATTATATACTTTGTTTTTTTGTTACTGTGATCCAATATATACTTTTTTATATTGTATACTATAAATTTATTTTTTTCAACAATAATTTTACATGATTTTGAATTTTAAATTATGATTTTGAATAATTTTTAATCTTGTGCTTGGATCCTGATTTGTAACTACCTGTCGTGTGTAATGTAAGTTTTAATTTTTATATTTTTTATTTATTTAATTGCATGCCGAACATTTCTCACTAATATTGCATGAAATTGATACTTTTCTTTGTGAATCACTCATATTTCCATAAAATGCTTACATATGTACTAATCAAATTATTAACATTGAATGTGTATGTTATTAATTGCAGGCTACATGTTTAATTTCCACATTTCAAATGTTATGTTTCTTTAATCAATAACATGAAATTTTCAGGAATGTGTGTTTGAAAATAACACCAGCTATGTGAATAATAATCTGTTAACAAATTAATACACTTTCCTGTTGATGTATTGTATACTAACATTTTTCTTCAGCTAAACAAAATTATATACTACGTGGACAATTTCAGTTTGTTGACATCATCATGTGCATTTCTTAAATTTTTATTTGAGTAACTAAAGCGTTATGAAGTGTGTTTTGTATTTACACAACTAATAAAACTGTCGCATTATGATTAAATAGCATTTGTTTAACACTTGGTTATTATTAAACTTTGAATTTGTTTGACTTGAATTAATAGAGATTAATTTCATGATATACATATATAATTTTTTCTATGTTGGAGAAATAATGAGAAAATTGGTATGGAGGTTCCGAAGATTTTATTCGATAGAGTAATAAAACACTTGCAAAGTGGTTTGTTTAAAAAAAATTATTTATTGTTTTGTACGTCTATCTTGTACTAAGAATATATAGTTCAAACCAAGGAAGTTTTTATTAGGAAGATCTAGTGCGTCCTAATAGAGTAAACCCCCTATAACGCGGTTTTCATATTACGCGGAGCTGAAATTGCACTAGACAGGTAACTTCATAGATAAAGAAGTATAATGATGGTACTTCTATAGCACGGTTTTCGTTCAACAGCCCATAAGTATTTTCAATATATATCATCGATTATATTAGTGTTGGAGGTTCCTCACAGAAAGTCTATTTTTATTTTTTAAACCTACTTGACATTTTTTCCCGGTGAATAGTTCCTTAATTTAGCTTTTATTTCATTTACTGTATATTAATATGAATTCTGCTATTCAATTACTCATTTATGTATAAACTTGACCAGTTTATTCCAAACCATCCTGTTTATATTGCTTATTGAATATTTTGTAACAAGTGCGGTTTTAGATTTTTGACCAATCAATCCATCTGCAAAATCACGATGTTTCACTTGGTTTTCGCTTCTTAACATTTGTCACCTGTATCTATGTTTTCAGCGTTTTTATTTAAATAAAATATTTAAATACAAGTGAGCAGAAACCAATTTATAGTATATGAAAAAAAAAACATGAATTATTAACTTCCCGTCGACGATTTCGGGAACACGGATGAAGCGTTTTGAATAATTCAAAAAACATTCGATTCGTATTGATAAGGAGACGTGCTGATTAGTTGTTGGCGAAGGCAGGTCTAGCTGTTCCGAAGATATGGGGCAAAAAGTGCCAAAAACGGTAACTCAGTTTTTAAGAGAACGGAGCGTCCGATTTGAATAATTCAAATTTTCATGAAAGCAGGTCTAGTGGTTTCGGAGATCTAGTGAAAAAAGTAAAAAAAATGCCATCTGGCGGTCAAAAATTATCATTAGACATATGCACATCAAATTATCATATATTTTATAAAGATTTTAACAATAAGTATAATTTTTTTTTACATTTCTATGGGTTCCGTACCAGTGTTTATCCGTTAGACGGCGACGCGGCGCTTACGCGCTTCGATATTTTGTCTCTATGCAGTTAAAGCAGTACGATTGCTTTGAAAAAAAGTTCAGAATTTCCAAAATATTTCAAAATACACTTTTCTTCAAAAAGCATTTTTTTCAAAAAAGTAAATTTTTGTCAAAAATTTATAGTTTCTTAAAAATCTAATTTTTCAGAGTATTTTTTTTTCAAAAATGTTAATATTTAAAAAAAAAAAAAAAAATTTGGTACGGAAAGTTCCAGCAATTTGCCTTAAGGCACGATGCCATGCGCCCCACTAGTTTTCATATTGAATATGAAAAACAAAAGGCAACAAAAATCGTTTTATACGGATCTGCGACACATGGGTAAACAAAAATGGAGGAACAGAAAAATGAAACCAGAAGAAAGCTGGCAACATGGTTTTTTCTTCATTTGGTATCTTCAGGTAAATGAATTTAAAGAGCGTTGTTGGTGGTCCTAATGTTAAGCATACTCGATATCCTATAGTGGCTGTACTACTGCGGAAAGTTGAAAAGATCCAAATAATTATTTGTAATCAGCATTTATTATCATCCATTCGTTTTTTGCAATCTCTTTGAATTGCATTGTTATGAACATCAATTTGAGAACTCAGAATAAGGGGGCGTCCATTAATCACGTAAGCCTTTTATGGGGGGTAAAGGAGGAGTCCAGTAAGAAATCACGTGTATTTATTTTTAACCTGAATTAAAAGAAAATCTAAACATTTTCAAAAAAAATTTCACAATTTTTACGATATTTTTTGTAACTAAAAATATACGTAATGTTTCTTGGTGGAGGGGGGGGGTTAATTTTGAATATCACAACCTCTCACCACGGGGGAGGGGGGGTTTAAAAATCCTTAAATAA